GAGATTTTTGAGGGGGAGAGAGAACGAGATTATGGGAGTGAATGGGGGATTAGGGTTTAAGGAAAATATAAGAAAAAATAAAGAAAATACAGTGGATTAAGGAAAAATACAGTAAAATTAGGGAGAAATACAGGGAATGGATAGGCTAAAGAAATCAATATAAGATAATCAATAATAATAATAATAATAATAATAATTAATATTCAAAATTAATTTAAAAGCTTTTACTGTAATAATTTAATTCATAATAGCAAAACCATTAAAATAAATATAATTTGGATTTTTAAATCATAGAAAATTTAGAAAATCGAAAAGAATATAAATACTCTTTAGAAAAAAATAATATTTAAATACTAGGAAAATTGTTTAAACCAATATCGAAAATTCATGGTCATTACATTCTACACCCCTTAAAACAAATTTCGTCCTCGGAATTAAAATAAGAAAGAACCCAAGGATAGAGATATGGAAAGAGAGACTCAACTCAACGCATATAGAGAAGAATTTAAAATAAATTGCATATCCATAAGTAGAGCGTGAGAAAAACACAAGTCAAAATGCAGACACACAAACACTAAGTTATCACAATATAAACACACAATTCGTTATAATAAAAACACTTAAGATATATGAATATAAACATACAATTTACTATAATAAAGCACTAAGTTATCACCATAGACACAAAATGATATTTAATCATATAAAGTAAATATAAAATATTTATAGCACACATATAGAAAAGTAATAAAAATATTTTATACAAAGCATCATTTAGATATAATATTCTATAAATAAAGAAGATGAGAAAAATATGAATGTAAATTCACATATTATATATATAAGGCATGAAACATGTTATGAGAATGTATTAGGCAACAATATCAAATATAAGTTATATGGGCAAGTCAAATACAAAGTCAAACAAGCGTTGTATGATGATAACAGTTAATAGTAAAAGGTTTATAGTATAGATCAATAATGTATAGTCAGATGATATAAAATAAGCAGGAATAATGATAAAAAAAAGTATAAAAAATACACAAATCATCAAGGAAATATATATAACATAAGGTCATAAGAAAGCCTGGTATGTAGTATAAATAATAAGAATGATGTAAGTATAATATAAAGAGAGTGAACTTATATTGAAAAAAGATTACACAGGTATAAAGAAGCATGTATATAGTAAATAAAATATTTGATACGTATCAAATTATAAAATTACACAACATCTATACACAGACAAAAATATAAGTATCAGTCAAACATAGCATAATAGAAAAGAAGTCAACAATAAATATACAATCATAGAGAAATATAATATCAATATGATATTATTTATATAGTATCATAAGACAACACATCACGGTGTTAAAACATAATTAATAACACAGAATTGGCAAAATATAACAAATATATAACATAAAAAATATGATATAAAATATAAATACATAATTCAAATAATTGTCAATCACTAGAACATATGATAAAGTATATCAACTCAACAATATAAATAATTAAAAGAAGAACATAAAGAAGATAAAAGATAAAAGGTCTCAACAAAGTATAAATAACTCATACGTAAGTAAATGATAAACATGATAAAATACAAAACATAAAAACACAATATAGACAGAAGATGAATCATATATAAGCAAAAGCAAAAAAAAAATTTGAAGAGTTTGTAAGCAAAACAAACTAGCAAGAATCAAACATACATATAGTTTAGACAACATAATAAACAACATAAAGAGACATAAAAATAATCAATATTAAATCACAATACTATATCATACAATCAGTTAGTAGAATAAATATTCAGAATATATAAAAATATAATTACAAACAAACACATGAATGAAATCAGCAAATTACATTCAACAAAATAAGGCATATAAGGCACAATTTCCGAATTTTTTTTAATTATGTTAAAAAGTTCAAAGATAGTATTAAAGCAACATATATTTAAAGAAGTCAAAAATATAATGCACGTAAGGAAGGATAGATATAATAAACAGTAAAGATAAAACATGATGATAATAAGCAGCATAAGTACAAAAATACAGATAAATATTCATCAATATTCAAAGAGTCATAAACAAATGAAGCACGCAATATTACTAGAAAAGCACAAGTTATAAGACAATAATGTAGAACAAATCAGGCAAAAGAACAATAATGATTATAATAAGGTATACAGAATATACATAATCACAATTAAAAATAGCATTAAGTAAAAGAAATAAATATAGATAGAA